GATTTTGAATTAAGAAAAATGAAATCACACGAAAAAACTGGGTTTGACATTCAGGTTGCAGTAAAAAAAATCATTTGTTAACATCTACTCAACGTTTGTTGTTTTATTTGTGTAAAAGATTAACTTTGAACGCTATTAGAAAATGGCTTAAAATATTCCAATTATCTCGCTCCACCCTAATAGGTAGGTCTCACTATAAAACACTGCAATGGTGACATAAATTTCTATTTTCACTAAAATTTAGAAAGTTGATAACAATTACAACAGTTCTCGTATACACTGATATTATGGATACTACACGATGAGTTGTCAAGAGTCTGTACAAATGATTTGAGCAGTTGACGCGAAGCTAAATCGTATTAATTCACACTTGTCTTCTTCGAATAGTCGCACATGAGATGTACAAAGCTTTCTTGAGCGACAACGATTTGAACTTGATTTGTGAGAAAAACCGCAGCACAACGATTGAGGTTATATTAATCCTTTCGTTCGAATGAGTTAACAGCTGGAACTGAGGTTGACCGAGATCACGTGAAGATTGCACATGGCAAGGTGTAACCTTACTTTCCCTCGTCATGCGCTAGCGCAACTAAGAAGCGCCAAATTATCTCGAGAATTGAGTCAATGAAAAAAAGATTCCACCAGGCCTACAGTAGACATTACACAGGCACAAAAAAAATGTTCAGTTTCAGAGAACGGACTCAGTAGACTTAATGTTTTGGGGTCGCTAAATCCGAATCCATCATCGGTTTTTCGCCATCAGATCGATTTAAGGTCATTTGAAGGTCATGTAAAGGCCAAATCATGAAAAATTGGTTCTAAAATCTGAAACTATACCTACATAGGTTTTTGACTCTGCTGCATTCAAATCTGAAGTCAGATGACCTCTACGACCTTACTTTCAAGGTCATTTGCAGGTCAAACTTGGAAAATTCGATTTAAATTCCGAAAAATATTTATATTTTTTATGTTTTGAGGGTCGCTGAATTAGAATTCAAGGTCATTTTGACTGAATGTTGACATCTACAGGTCATCTGAAGATCATTTGAAGGTCAAGTCATGAAAAAAAGGTTACAAAATTGGAAAAAAACTTCTACATGGGTATTCGAGGATGCTGAATTCAAATCTGGAGTCAGATAACCTCTATGATCTTACTTTCAAGGTCAAACTTAGAGAATTCCATATAAGAATGCAAAAAATATCACATTTATGTTTTGATGATCGCTAAATTTGAAACAAAGTTCATTTTCACTATACTGTTATTTTAAGCTTATTTCAAGATAAAATCTAGTGAAAACGATAAAGTATCGAAAAAAGATTGTGTATAGGTTTCGGGAACTGAGTAATTCAGTTTTTTGATGTAAAAAATCAATATCAAGTTCATTTCAAGGTTAAGTTAATGAAAAGAGGGCAAAACTTGATGAAATATTGTTAATTTCATATGCCTTTTTACTTTTTTTTTTGTGACGCCTCTTTTTTTCTTCAAACGATTGGCAGAGAGGTTGCCGTCTGCGTTTAGTTTCTTTATGTTCGCTCTTTCTCTTCAACATACAGCAGTAGTCAGCCATCAATGCAACATCCCGTCTACCTTGATATCGCTGCTCCACATGTTTCATGTCTTGATGGAATCGTTCTCCTTGCTCGTCGCTAAAATCACCACAGTTTTTGGGAACTCATTCTATTTCACCAAAATTGTTTATCATTGTTGATATTAAAACTTTGTAATCATCGCTTCTGCGATTACCTCGAAAATTTTCCACAACATTTTTGAAGCTAACACATGCAGCTTTCTGAATCCCAGTCATCTTAGTTGGAAAATTGTCATCTTTCAGCAATTTTCTTATTTCTCGTCCATCGAATATTCCTTCTTTTAATTTGGCATCCGATTTATAGGAAAATTTAAATTCTAAATATTTGTAGCATTCATCGCTCTCACTCAAAGCTTTAACGAATTGTTTCATAATGCCCAATTTGATATGTAAAGGAGGTAGTAAAACATTTTTATGGTCTACTAACGGACTGTTAATAACATTATGATGTCCAGATTCTATAGAATTTCTCTCAGACTACTTGTAGTCAGTATAATGTTCTTTACGATCTCTGCTGTTCCATTAGCACTTGAAACGTGGGTACTTTGTAAATCCAGATTGCTGCCCTGCTGATGGGAGGGGGGCCAACATAGAGGAACTAAACGCAAACGGCCACGCAAACCACCTTTACGCCGGTCGTTTGAAGAGAAAAAGGTGCGTTACAAAAGAAAAAGGTAAAAAGTCATACTAAATTAACAATATTTCATCAATTTTTTCCGCCCTTTCATTCACTTAATCTTGAAATGATCTCAAAATAACCCAGTATAGTGAAAATGAACTGTGACTCAAATGCAGCGACCCTCAAAACATAAATGTGATATTTGTTGCATTCTTATATTGTCTCTATTTTTAAATTCTCTAAGTTTGACCTTTAAATGGCCTTGAAGGTAAGATCGTAGAGGTTATCTAACTTTAGATTTAAATTCAGCATTCTCGAAAACCCATGTAGGAATTTTTTTCCAATTTTTTAACCTTTTTTTTTCATGACTTGACCTTCAAATGACCTTCAAATGACCTGTAAATGTCAACATTTAGTCAAAATGACCTTGAATTCTAATTCAGTGACCCTCAAAACATAAAAAATATAAATATTTTTCGGATTTTTATATCGAATTTTCTTAGTTTGACCTTCAAATGACCTTAAATCGATCTGATGGCCCAAAACCGACGACGGATTCGGATTCAGCGACCCCAAAAACATGAAATCTACTGGGTCCGGTCTCTGTAACTGAACATTTTTTTTGTGTGCCTGTGTTATTGGTCTTCATGTCCAGCCTCGATGGTGGAATTGAAGGATCTTTACCTGGTCGTAATCGATGAGCTGCTTCAGATTTGCTGACCGATGATTCGAGCCTTGGTCGTGTCAAGGCAGTTGACTTCAGGTGGCTACTTCAGGTGCGGTGAGGCGCAAGGAGCGATAGGCATCTACCTTACTTTGGTTTTCTGTGTGTTGTTATTTTAACCTTTTTATCTGCTCTCTCTTTTGCTTATATGCCAAAATAAAAAGCCTCGCTTCTCCAACCACAACAACGTCTTCTAATTTACCTCCGCCACTATTTAATTACCAACAATTTGGTCCTTCGAGCCGGATAAGAAAAATGGCGGACGGGCAACAAGAAGGCAAGTAAAATTCAAACACTGCTATCGTGCTTTACTACATTTTACGAGCCGAACATATGCTGTTCCACAAGGTGTGGTTGACCAAACTACTGCCTGTGAGGTACATGGTCGCGAAGTAAATCCAGATAAATGCGATCGTGTCATCAACAAGATGGCGTCGAATGTATACACGAGCGAACTACATGCACTCACGCCTGCAGACTGAAACGATGCAAGCTCGTTCAAGAGCGTACGCATGTATTGGCCGCAGCGCAAAGCAAATGCAACCAATGGGCTAAGAGTACTTGCTACTCCAATGTTCCTTTTCGTCTCATAACCTGTATGGGGAATTACACATGCAACTTTTACATACACAAGCGCTCGCACTAGCAATTACGCAAAGGTTGTCGCTCGACAACTTATACTCACCTTGTTCGATCTCTTTCACAGCACCGAATCAATTGACCATGCAACGGCAGCTGCATAGGACACTCGTTCTACTGGCTCGTACTATAATTGAGAAACCAATGGAAGAATGGACGCTTGGACATGTCGTGAGTCATCGAACACTTCTCGGTGGCTATTGGACCGACTATATGGGAAATCACTCGCGTCTCGTAAGCGTCGTCGAAATTCCAGACGATCCATATTTTCAAGAAGACGTGTACGCAGAGGCCGAAACGTTAGTCGTCAGCGCTCAAGCGCGTCTCGTTGATGTTGAACTCCAATCGCAGCCGCAGAACATCGACGTCGAACAAACAGGGCCAATAATGCACTCCATTCGAGGGCCAGTACGACTACCACGCATTGAGCTCAATAAATTCGACGGCACGCACAAGGAGTGGGAATCTTTTCGAGATTTGCTTTAATCGCTAGTGCACAACGATCATGTCGTGCACAACGTGATGTCGAGCGGCTACACTATCTGAAGACGAGCCTGCGAGGAGATGCAGCATCCGCCATCAAAGGCTTTGAAATTACCGCTCAGAACTATCAATCAGCTTGGGCAGCCTTACTGTCACGTTACGATAATCACCGATTGCTGGTACGAAATCACATCGAAGCGCTGCTTGATCTGAGAGCCATGACAGCAGAGTCCGCTGCGGAGTCGCAAAGAGTCCTAGATGACATCAATCGGCATCGAGCCCCACTAGAGTCGCTTGGCCGGGAAGTAACGCAATGGGACGACTGGTTCATTGCTCTTGGCAGCCGGGCTATGGATCCTGCGACGAGATTAGCCTGGGAAGGAGAGGTAAACTTGCATAACCAGAAGGAGCCAGATGCTCACCCTACATTCCAACAGCTTGAACAATTTTTACTACGCCGAAGCCTGACACTCAAAGCCTCAGGAATAGATTATACATTACACTTGAGCTATATTCGTCGACCAGCAGATCGTACTACCACCTGAAACGTACGCAGCTTCGTCACTACCAGCGAGGCAAAGTGTCCACTGAGTAAGGGCAAACATCATCTAGGCAGATGCGACTCTTGTTTGAAATTGGACGTAAGCTCTCGCAGAGCACTAGTCTCGAAGGCTCTGTGTCTCAATTGCCTTCGAAGCCAGCATCGCGCTCAAGATTGTCCAGCGATGTTTACCTGTCGACTTGGTACGAATTTGGCTCACGAAAACAGCTGCATCTCTGTGAATAATCAAAGTTTTGCAATTTTAAAAACTGCAATGAAAAGGGGACAAAAATCCCATTCGAAAATGAAATAAATTGTTTTCCAATTTCAAGCCCCCTGTTACCCTTTAATGCAATTTGTTTTTCTTTCAAGTGCAATAATATTCAATGTTATGAATTTTTTCAGATATTGCATGGGAAATAGTGTCTGAAATGTTTACTGAAATACAAGAATCAAAGGTAATATATATTAAAACTTATCTAACAGATAACACATTAACGTTAACATTTTTTCACGTTTAGGATCTAATGGATGATGTATTAACAATAAACGAAAAGAAAAGGAAAATAACACTTGAGCAACGACGCTCATTTTTTGTTCGTATGGTATCTGATCCTGCAATTCAACCTGGATTTACAAAGACACCTAATCGTTCTCAAGTGGCGACTCTTTTTAAAGATAATAATAGTCCTCAAAATACAACGTATGTAAATTAATACAACATATTAAAAATAGTAAAATATGTGCTTAGAGAGCCAAAAACTGGAAAGCCTCAGAGCACGTCGAATTATCGGCTGAGGCAAAGCCGAGATACTTACTTTTTCGCTTTGGCCGCAGAGACGGAAAAAGTTAGTTTCAGCTGTTGTAGCATGAAAATATTTTTTTCATTTTTTTAGTTGAAACTAATCTTTTCCGTCCCTGTGGCCAAAACGAGAAAGTTGATTTTTACTGTGGGATTCATGAAAAATAGTATACGCACCTATGAAGCAAAAAAAGAAAGTTTCAGAGCACAAGTTTATCAGCCTCGGCTTTGCCTAGGCCGATAATTCCACTTTCTTTTTTGGAAAAGTGATCGAAAAAGGCTTCCCAGTTTTTCGCTTCCTAGGTTCATAATATATTATACAGTCATTGCATTACAATATTCTTCCTTAAGACATACATGGATTTCTTGGCCATTTTCGTACTTGATGCAAACTCGAGAGACAACAGATAATAATGAATTATCACTAAGGTAATAAAATAATTAAGATTTATTTTTATTATAAATGATATAAGGATATAAAAAATAATATATCATTGAAATAAAATCAGTGTCATGACCGCAACAATTTTCAACAAAAAAGGATAAATAATAAAGGATTTGAAGTACAAAAAATATTACACAGTACTGTAACAGTACATAAAAAGAACATATAAAGTAACACATGAAAATTATTCTCATTACATAAACCTTGGAACCGTTTCAGATCGAAATCTCAAAAAAAAGTCGAGACCAAAAAGTTGAAAGCTATAAAGTCCAAAATGAAAAAGATCGTAATAAATTTTTAGTTAATTTAAAAATCTATGTTATTCTTTTGTTGATATTACTTGACCTTCAGTTCTAAACAAAACCTATGTTATTTTCATTATGTATTTTTGCTTCATTACGATTTGTATATAGATTGTTATCAATTAATAAAGTAGGTCTAATTATTGTAAATAAATATAATATTTATGCACTGTGAGCAAGAGCCAAGCACACATGGCGTAATAACAACGTGAGATTTTTCGAGGGTAACATGTGCCCAACATGCGCCAACGCGTTAGAGAAACCCGTACATGTATGTAAACGAACGTATGACACCTGTGGTGAATTTTGAAATGACGCAAATTCGGCAAATATGGGGAACAAGGAGATGACCTGCACGCCCCTAGGGTCACCAAGGTACTCGAACTCGGAGAACAGCTCACCCAAATATGGGTACATAGAACGACATATGTGTGACCCGTGGATCAACAAGTGACCAATAGCATAAAAGTTCACAACTTGGGAAAAAAACCAAGATGTATTCCCATTGAAAATATGCGTGCATAAATTAGTATATAAGCTGGGTAAAAATTAGGCTCTGGGCAGATATGTTATAGGGACACACCAGTGTTAGAAACCTGAAATTATTTATTGGTGTAAAATAATGCATCAACCAAGTTTCAACAAATATCAAAATCATCCATGCTTTTTTGATTTATTTTGAATTCAAAAAACCTGTATAGACCCGTAGCATATCAATTTATAGGTCGAGATCACTAAAAGAAGATTCAGCTTGGATAAATACCTACCGCAGGATTCTAAAGAGAGGTTTTAACCAATTTTTATAGTTGACGGCTTAAACTCGTTGTAAAAGTATTCTCCTCCACTTAAGTGTAACAAAATTTTGCAAAATGGCATAGGAATATTAGTGTGGCTATAAATGTACAAAATATCCAAAAATAATGAAATGTTATGAATGCTTATATTGCATTGTAAAAGGCAGATATAAATATTCCTATGACATTTTTCAAAATTCTGTAACGTTTAATGGAGAAGAATACTTTTACAAAGAATATAACAATCAGCTATAAAAATTGGTTAAAAACTTTCTTTAAAATCCTGCGGTATACAAAAATTTCTTAGTTTGTATTTTACAGCCAAGGGTTTTAAGAAAGGGTCAAGAAGTTTGTTATAATATGTAACACTTTCCTGAAAGTGTATTTTACAGTTCGAGGTTTGAACTTGATATAAGCGATTCGACGCAGATACACGCCGCTTCCCCACATTGGCGAACTCTTAGCTCGACAAATTTGGATCGCACCCGCTCGCTGCCTTAGTGAACTCTTGCTTACTAAGAGTTAGCACAGAAAAGTTCGCTAAGGCTAGCGAACGAAACTTTGTATAGCTGCGTGGACTGCCCACCCCAGCTCCACCGGACAATCGCGCGTCACCACCGCGTTGCGCCGCAGCCACGCGTCGCTATAAATACAGCACGCCTTGCTGGCAGAACTCATTTGAAGTCGAGTTCTCAACCGTGACAAATCAGCAATGGTTCCTTAGTTATCCAAAAGACCACTGCCTTCCGAGAGGGTCACTCGGCTAGGGAGTTGGACGGAATAAGATTTTTTTTTACCTTCTTGACTCGTCATTCGAAATCTTGACTCGTCATTCCTTCACTTACCCTCTCAAGAACGACCACGAGGCACGGTTACTTGAAGATCGGCGGCCATGACATTTCAACATCAAGCTGGGATTACCTCACCAACGCTACAGCTACACAAATCCCAGCGGGCTTCAAAACATCTATTAAACGGTTCTTTTTAGGGCTCACTTTTTTCGCTTCGCAAAATCTAAAATATTCGCCTTGATTTTGAACAACAACGCCTAAGTTGCCCTTCTCAAGGCTATTGTCAAACTGATGATTAGATGTCAAAGTCTCAGATATGACTTTAAGAAATTCAACCAAGTGGACCTTCTCATGGTTACCCTTGCCCTCTTTACTTTAATTAGCTGACATCAAGCCATTTTTGACTAAATCGTATTCTGAAGCCACAAATATTTTCGTTTTATGGGTGTTTTTTGTAGGGCTGAGGCAGTCTCAAAAATTTTATCACGGAGTAGATCTGTTTCAAAAAATCATATCAAAATAACCGTTTATGCAGAAAAAAAATCAAAAACTATTAAGTATTTACAGTGTAATGTATTCACGTAATGGCCAATATGTACTCAAATAGTTTAGGACACGCTTTATTCGTCCGTCTGAATAAATGCAACAATCTGATTACGTTGAGATAAATGAAAATAATTAAGAGTTTATTATATTACAATGTGAAAGCTAGTTCGCTAGCTATGTAAGAAAAAGGGCACTACCACGTGATATGTGGCACGTTGATCGTAAAAATATAATGAAGAAAATAATGATATGTAATGCGTAATTCAGATTTTACAATTATTTCGTCGTCATGTTAATTTCTATTGCATCTTGGCTGGATAATTAACACTCACGAAAATCTCTGAGAGGTGCGAAGTCACGGGTGGAAAAAATCGATTTCCATGCGAGAGAGCTCGTGGATTTCATCACTTATATGTTAATTTTTTTGGGGTCTCCTGGTACCCAATACTGAAGCTCTCTGAGCTTAGTTTGATCTCATGGGCCTTAGGGCCCATTTTTCAGAGGATTTTCCACATTATAAAAAATCTTTGTTAATTTTTATATCGATATAGAAGTACTGAAATGAAAAAGGGCAACGATAAAGTTTTAAAAGTTTTCAAAGAATCTGCTTGAATTTTTTCAGATTTTTCGGGACCATTTATTACTTAATTCAAGAGGCCCAAATTTGACGCTTTTTTTTATAGATTTTAGGACTTCTCAAAGAGAGTGGTAGATGGTCCCTAAAATTCTGAAAAAATTCAAGCAGATTCTTTGAAAACTTTCAAAACTTTTGATCGTTGCATTTTTTCGCTTAAGTACTTCTATATCGATATAAAAAATAACAACAATTTTTTTACAATGTGGAAAATCCTCTACAAAATGGGCCCTAAGGCCCATGAGATCAAACTAAGCACAGGGTGCTTCAGTATTGGGTACCAAGAAACCCCAAAAAATTTTTGGAGCAAATCTATGACCCAGAGCTGGGGTGGTCTCCTCGTTAGTATTCACTTATGCTAATCTTCTTTCTTCATCAACAAATGCTGATGGCCGGCTTCCGCTTGAGTGGGACGTCGTCACCAGGAGTTTGACGAATAAATAGAGATGCTTTTAGAAGTCACTTTCACATGTTTTACGTTGCTATTGCTTTTCAAGGAGCACAATTTTGCACACGTACGTTGCAGACAGGCAGGTTCATTGTAATGGCCGACTCGTGACGTGGTTGTTGTCATTGCTCTCATGTGTCACAAAAAGTGACGAGCGATAGACAATCAATATTGATCGATAGGTGTCGGTAGTTGTATCGATTCTCGTCTGTTTACTTCACATGTCAACAATCTGTGATTAGTTTGGTTTTCGTTCGCTGCTAGTTATTTGGTAACTTGGAGCTGAATGCTCTGGTAGGAGGTCCCAAGCCTCGTAATTCGGGTACAGGAAAAGAAATGATAAGAGTCAATTCAGTTATAATTACTGAGGTTAAAATTTATTAGCTTCGCTCTGTTACACCTTCGGAGGTCTCTTCACGATTGACTAGTCGCTGCCGCTGGCCGCTCAGCGGCGCTCTTCTTACCGCCAGAGGAGAGAAGGCGGCGAGCCCCTGAGTAATGTTCATCAGCTTATCGATACGTTGGTGTTTTAATGGATCGTCTCATGTGTCGTAGGTATTATGTAAGGTTACTTACATCAGGATCAAGTTGCAAGTGTCAAGCTAGCCTGTTACCTATCTAGTGTGTTTGATTAAGTGGTATTATTTGCTAATACTGTTCTTTTGTTGTAAACGTCCGTGTTTTCATCATTGACTGTTGTCGTCTGTCTCGTGGTGCTTTGATGAGAGAGGCATCATATCTGCTTGTTCGGTGTCTCATGTCGTGTTACTTGAGGAGCATCAGCCTGCCGGTGGCAGTGTATCTCTTATTACTCATCTCATATATCTTGGTTGTTCATTGTCTTCTCGTGTTGATCATTTCTTCTTTCTTGCAGGTCTCAGGTGCTCGAAAAACATAAATGTTTTGTAAGGATAAAGTGCAAGGGGCTCGTCTTCGTCTATCACAGCTAATTTCTACTCGTTGAACTCAAGAGAAAGTTTCATGACTTGTAGCGCATAGAGTATGCCACTATAACACATAGCAGCCACTCACTAGCAGCCGACAAACATCACCTGTAAGAGATGAACTCTGCGTTGCAGATCGATAGTGTAATCACTTATCAATGCGCGTGCAGTTCTTTATGCCGACCAAGACGTGATCCGCGAGTTCATTCCGTTCAAATCTGCTTGTGAGTGCGTATGCTCAGTACCATGAGCTGAAAAGACGCGTGATTGCTACTTCCATCCAAGCATGAAACCAGAGACCAAAAGTCCCTGAAGAAAATGGACCAAACGAGACGATCCCCTTACACCATTGTCGAGACGAAACATCAGATAAGCTAAGAATTTATATTGCAATCGGTCGAGCCTCACCGGGTCATTTTGATTAGAATGTAACCTAGAACTCCCCACATGAACTCGCCGCCCGTATGAGATTCTGAATGTATGATTGCTTGTTGTCTAGCCGAGATGAAAATAAAGATGGTATGA